CCAATTTAACATAATTCCAATCTCCCCCTATTACAGTGACAAAGGAAAACCCCCTTAAATAGTAAAATCAAAAATTCCCTAAACAAAGTCTCCTTGACTCGTGCGTTGCCACCCGCCGGCATATACACTCCTATAAAACAAACCCTCGTTGCACCCCACTCCCCCTCCACCCTCACCCCCTCCCCCCTCCCCCCCCCAAAGAAGGACGCCTACACCAACAACCCAACAAACAACTTTCCAAAACCCCAACCAAACTTATAATTGTGCTCCTGAATGAAACATATATCTACTTTAAAATTTCTCTTTAAAAACCATTCCACCCATACTCTTTTAACCTCGCTCTCAGCCATTAACATTGATCGTTACAACCTTAAATTTAAATGACAGTAGAGGCGGCTTGCCCCCCGCTTGGAATGGCACCCGCGTGACCTGGCTGCTGACTAAGCCCCGTTTGTCACCTTGTCTTCCATCCCCCCCCCCCCCTTATCCTTTGAACCTTTCAGAAACTTCACACCGCTACCCCCACTCTCCGGGAGATCCAACCTGGGCTTCCAACCTTCTTCCCGGGTCTCTGCCCGGGCGTTAAGACGCCCATCCATATCAGACGTCCCAGCTGTTCTCTTGCGTGAACCTCCGTCCCCACATGTAACCTCCTCTTCCATGCACGCTCTGTGCACCTCAGCCACTACCGTGTGCTTCTTCCCCTCATTGCACACGTCCTTCCCACGTCCCGATGAGACTGTAGTCTCCTCCAATAGCTTTCCACGTTGCTCATCAAATCCAGACCCCCCTCCACCTCACTCGGGAAGGTATTCAAAACCTCATCCACTTTCCATCCTGTTGCATTACAGGGTCACCGTCATTCTCGTTCGTCGTCGTCTGCTCAGGCCCCGTCCCCACAGGTAACGTAGCACAGAACCATTCTCCGCCTCTGCTTTATTCACTTCTCACTCCAACTGTATGATGCCTGCTTTTGGCCACATCTGTCTCCTGTTACCACAGGATCCAACTGCTGATCCACCTTGTTGCATTTGTTCCCTTCCGTTCCTGGTTTCCTTGGCATTGGGCTCCATATGGTCAAATGATCCCACAGCCTACAAGTCCGCCTCTGTCCTGCATAGTATACATATACCCTGCGTTCGAAACTCTTCCAGTAAAACATATGAAGGAATTGATTGCCGTAACGTCATCTTCAGATTGAAGGAATCCTTTCGGCAGTCCCACATAAGCCCCATCCTCCACACTCCAATTCCACAGCATGATTCTTGCCAAAACGACGGAAGAGAAAACCGCAACCACATCATACTCTGTAGCTTCAAAGGCCACATTCCTTACTTTTACGTATGTCACATAGCTGGATACATCATGTAGACATACCTCCACTGCTGCATTCACGGCCATCCTCTTCTCGTGGTACTTGTCAACTATGCTTGAGTAAAATCTAGCATTTATAAATTTGATGAAAATCCTCTTAACTCCGTTAACAGCCACACCATAAAGCTCTTCATTGGGTATCCCATACACATCACGAATAATCGTAGGGAGTAGCACCTGCATGGTAGAACTGCTTAGGGCCCCACGTACTAATTCCACACAGACAGTATTCACCCTGCGTCCATGTCTGTCCGCCATTTTGATTGCTCAAAACAGGTAAACTGCGCAGAAAATCAACTGAATCGGGAGCGCCTGCACAGCACGTCCACTCAGCCCGGAAGCGAAGAGGACAATTGAAGCACACTGTAACACAGCATAACATATAACATAAAATAAAAACCAATTGCTATATGCTAGGAAACACTTTTTACCACTTACAATTGAATCAAAAACAGTAAAGACACCTATAACATATTTGAGTCTCATTGAAAATTTTCATCATAAAGTCCTTGAAATGATTTATACATGATAAAAAATAATATGCTATCGTAGTGCTACATATTTCTAAATGATAACTGTGTAGTTCCTGAAACCCTCGGGGCAATAACCCTATTGCCTCTAGATATCAAAACTCAATTATACATCCATATAAACAGCTCTCCATGCTCACACCCATGTCTAGGAAAATAGCCCGTCGTATCCTCCCTATCCCCTTACCCCACTTTGCAAATCCCATAAAACCCTTAATGTGAAATTTCGATGACAGCCAGCACGGCAACAGGAACCTTGTCCTCTATTTTTACTTCTACCTGAGGTTCCCAGCAGCCCAGTGATGACCTAATCAAGACCCGCATAACACTAACATGTGTGGATACCCAGAATGATATAAAGCAAACTGCAGAAACACGGCCAAAGTTCGACAAATTACCAACTAATAGGACTCGTACTACCCACCTCCTACCCCGCTGGCCACTGAGTGAACTCCATAACATTCACCCATCACCATCGCCAACTATACACTCCAAGCCACAACCAAATAGACAAGGGTCAGAACAATAAAAAGAAGATTCAGTAACCAGCTTAAGGACTCCTAACATCAAGGTTGAAGCAGGTATTAACACGAGGAAAACTTGTGTACATGCCATCAGGACACAACCCTCATCCACCCACCGGCACCACCACAACACACGACAGACAACAACAAACATGGCCGCCGCTATCAGTCCAAGATAACCCCTTCCCAGATTTGATGTCAAGAAGATCACGACCCAGAATAGCTTAACTCCTTATGATTCAGAACGCAAACGATCACCAAACTAACGTCAAGAATGCCGGAACCTAAAGGCTAACAATGCAGATTACCTCAACAAGACATTACTGCTCTAGAACATAAACTAACACTCTAGAAATCAACAAAGGCCAACACCCACAGCCCAGTCCCCTAGACAACCATCAACACACCTAAAAGACCAAGTCACCCTCCTTATAGCTACCAAACATTACAGAGGAAAGATCAAGATTTGACCAACAACTTGCCAATGTCATAACCAACTTTCCAAGACCATAATGACCAACAGCAGCTATCTGACGCCTTGTTGTAGTTTAACAGCAAACATCCACAGCCACAGTCACCCAAGAGACCTGCATGGAGACCACCCTACAGCTATCAGGACCACCTTCGCCTTAACATACGTAGTGACGACCTAAAGGATTGCAAACTGATGGGCTACCAAGCAGGTAAAAAAACAGTGCTGTTAAAATTCCAAACTAGCCTACAAAGAAACAACCTACTAAAAACATCTATTTCTATGAAAACTGATGTTTACGTCAATGAGTGCCTTACCAAAACAGGACAAAACCTTTATCGGCTAAGAAAATTAAGCTATGCCCAAAAAATCCACCAGTGCTTTGTGAGGGATGGAAAAATCGCAGTTAGGAAACATTCCTAAGTGAGGCTGGACTAACAGAATCAGAGTAAAGTGCAGATAATACCCATAGTCCACCGTTAGTGTTATATTGTCATAAATTTGTGCCCCCCTAAAATTCTAATACCCCAACTACTTTGATTGCATTTGTTGCATTCAACGGCCATTCCTACTCTCAAAGTCTAATTGTGTTTAATATCTACAGAATCTATCTCCTTTTTACAACTTACCTCTCATCACTGTTCCCAGTCTTAGTTTTACCCTATAAACTAGCCATACCTGTCCTCAAAATTCTACCTCATCTTATAAAATACTCAATGCCCATTTTATTCTAGAATCCCTATTATTCCCCAATTTTTACTTTAAACTTATATTGATCAAACTTATTGTAAACTTCTTTTTATTGACCATTTTTAGTTCCATACTTTTTTAAACTAGTAATTTCAACTACAACTTTATATTACCTGTCTACCTCTTACTAGCATATATTAACCAGTCTTGCCATTTTTATTTTTATCATTTTTTTTTATTATTCTTTTTGCTACCTTAATTTGTGTATTTTATCCTGTCAATTTAAATCTAATTATACTCTAATTCTTGTAAACAACTTATATAAGACCTTAGTGTAATTACAATTGAGAGTCTTGTGCCTTTATTATATTATTAGATTAATCACAGTTTTACTCTAGCTCATTCTAGCTCAATACATAGTCAATACCAAATTCCACTATATTAGACCATAGTGCAATTACTAGTGAGAGACTGGTGCTATTTGTAATTTGTATTTTTATATTATTAGACTAAACCTAGACTAAACCTAGGATGTGTGATGTCACCGTGGTTGTTTAATATATTTATAGATGGGGTTGTAAGAGAAGTAAATGCGAGGGTCTTGGCAAGAGGCATGGAGTTAAAAGATAAAGAATCACACACAAAGTGGGAGTTGTCACAGCTGCTCTTTGCTGATGACACTGTGCTCTTGGGAGATTCTGAAGAGAAGTTGCAGAGATTGGTGGATGAATTTGGTAGGGTGTGCAAAAGAAGAAAATTAAAGGTGAATACAGGAAAGAGTAAGGTTATGAGGATAACAAAAAATTAGGTGATGATAAAGATTGAATATCAGATTGGAGGGAGA